AATGACTCACGAAGAGCTACTGATTCCGATCAATAGGGGTGCGGCTTCTTCCTCCTTCTATGGATGCTCATGTCGGCTGCAGCTCGCTCGCTGCTGATCGATTGGTGATAAAATTATTGAAATTGACCCAGGGGCAGCTGAGTTATTAACGTTCAAAATCTTTCATAATTTTGTTACATGTTACATGTTCCATATAGAAATAACAGACGTAGTCCTACGTCAACAATTTTCAACGGCGGCCCTAACCCCCTATGTTGCTTGGGAATCATCGTGCACTGCTCTGTTTAGAGTACCATACTGGCACTAGGACGGTGATCAGCCGCTTTGGTGAAGCATACCCTCTATCACCGTACTATGGTTAAGGAAGATCTGTTTAACTTTCTCGAATTTGGTCAACGACTGTTGCTTTGGTATCTGAGGCTCTTATGATTTGTTTTGTTGTGGAAGGATCTTGTGAACTTGCTTTGAAAATTTCAACCGATTCCCTAGGTTTAAAGAATTTCATCATGAAATGCAGGTGCCCTCAAAGTTTGCCACCGAACCACCTAAATAGGTAAAATAACGCTGCTGGGTGAATGTAAACTAATTCAACAATGTTGCTGGTTTATTTTAGCTTAGTACTGTAAATTTTCCCGCAACTTTGACTCAGACGTTATTTCGGCTGAAAGTGACGTTTCGTGTTATGATTTTTAGAAAAATGTCGAATACGCAAATTTGAAGATTTTTGTGATATTCAAAATGGTCGAATTTCAACTTAAATATGAACGATTAAAGATAGCACACAACTGTGCTAAGTTTCTTTGAAAATTTGAGAAGGTCAATTTGGTTTCCATTTGACCTGGATATGATATGCACATTTCGCTTCACAAGTTCAGTTGCCAAAAACGAAATAGTTTTCAAAGTTAAAATATTAAAATATTCTAACTTTGAAAACTATTTCGTTTTTGGCAACTGTCAAATATTTTAACTTTGAAAGCTATTTCGTTTTTGGCAACTGAACTTGTGAAGCGAAATGTGCATATCATATCCAGGTCAAATGGAAACCAAATTGACCTTCTCAAATTTGCAAAGAAACTTAGCACAGTTGTGTGTTATCTTCAATCATTCATATTTAAGTTGAAATTCAACCATTATGAATATCACAAAAATCTTGAAATTTGCGTATTCGACATTTTTCAAAAAATCATAACACGAAAACGTCACTTTCAGCTGAAATAACGTCTGAGTCAAAGTTGCGGGAAAATATAGTTAAATTCCAAAAAAATATGCACGGTAAAACATTTCAAGTAAATTTGGGTAAAAAATTAACAAAATTTTGTTTAAACCCGCTTCAATAATTCTTGAGTATTTTTCATTAGCTGTGGAATTTTCAAGTTGGACACTTATACATTAACAAAAATCATTATTCACTTATTGGACACTTATACGTTAACATTCATATTCAATAAATCAGTGCCATCATTTCAAAGGGGCGTAATTGCTTTTGTAAACAATGGCTTTAGCTATCGCTTTCTTGCAAAGAAAAGTCCTTCCCTCCAAATTAACAATGCTAGCTGGTAAAGGAAGCATTACTCTACCTGCTGGTGTCATTAAACTTTATGAGTAAGTTTTAATTCAAGAGAAATCGACGTCTATAGTCATTGTTTACAAATACAATTACGCCCCTTTGGAATGTTGACACTGAAATACTGACGAGAGTAATTGTTTTTGTTATTTAAGTCTTCAACATTTTATTTTTTACCCAAATTTACTTCAAATTGTTTACTGTGCATATTTTTACTGAAAAGGAATTATTTTTCCAACAATTTAGTCTCAGGCGTCATTTCGACTGGAAGTGACGTTTTCGAGTTATGATTTGTTGAAACATATCAAATATGTAATTTTGACGTTTTTTAAGAGAAAAAATGGCTCATATGTGAATGATTGACAATAGCAAACAATTATGCAAAGTTTCATGCAAATCGAAGAAGGTTGCAGCAGATCGATTCGTCATTTGGCGTAGAACTGCTCAAATCTGAAGAGAAAATACACGCTTGATTCACGCAACCATTGCTTACTGTTTAGAATAATTATTTACATAATAATATTTGTATGGATAACGCAATATTTTGCATCTGAATTTGAAATTATCTTTCTTGTAAATTTTTTTTAAAACTTTCAATTTTCAAATAATAAAAAAATCGACGAACCCCTCGTATTCTACGAGACTGTACAATTGTCTCATCGAAGCGCATGCGAAAGCTCTTCGCGCTAGCTTTCATGCTCTTCTTATCCCACATTTCCCTTCGCTGCTTGTCGTTCAGCTTCAGAGAGCAGTAGCGAGCAACTCTACTTTATCGACAATCGAAGTAAACCCAGACCAGACCGCGGTAGGGTAGTGTGATTGATTTTGGTTATGCTGAGGTTTTTTTTTTTAATCTTGATTCGAATCTTTCATTTGATGAAATACACAATTGACAGAAAGAAAGCGGGCAAAAGGCAAATATATACCAAAGATTAGTTAAAAACAAGTGGAACCAGATCGGAAACAGATAGCGATAAGAATGATGCTGCTTGAGGCAAGATAGAATTAGACACAGTGAATGCGACTTTAAACCCGATCTTTCATGACACGCTTTACACCTGAACAATTTCTGCTATATTTTTTGGTTAACTAGCGGTTTATATATATGCAAAGTTGAATCTCACACCGACCGTTGGGAATCTTGCATAAAGTGATGCTCGAATGTCACTTTTTCGATGTTAAGATTCAGTGGAAGTCCTCCAAATGTAGGCTTGCGAAACGGAAAATGGTCTCCTCTTTCTGCTCTGAAACAGTGAGGGCCTCTGTTGACGCTCTCCCACGCTGGAAGGACCGACAGATGGTGCGCAAAAATAAAGAAGCACGTGTATGATCACATTCCATTCTTCATAAATTTATGTACTATAATTACTGAACTGCGTAGGACTTCAATTTTATCGAGCAGAGAAACAACATATACAAACACACAAGACACACATGCATAACTCATTCTCTAAATGTATAGCAATAGTGACTCTTGCACCTTAAAAACAGCAACTATCAATCCTTCTGTTGGCGGGCGAGAAAACGTCTCGCATCTTTGTTATATGCATCCCATATTTGTTCCTCTCAGCTGATTTCAGGAAAAAATAATCTTCGAACATCTCTTACAAAACAGACAAACAATACAAACGCTAAGCAAACATTATTGTCAGAAATCCCCCAACAACTAATACAAATGCAAACAAATGTGTAAAAGTATTTATGAATGGAAAACAAATGCATATTTAAATTTTCTCCGAAGAAAAAAAGTAAAATCAATCTTTAAAAAAAAAAGTATTTAAAACAAGAAGCAGACATCAACAAGAATCTATATTTGCAAAAGAAAAAAAAAAATGATGCATTGTATTATCCTTACAATTTCGGAGCGAGCTGCAGCATAAAATGAATGACCTTGACAGCAACAACAACAACAAGAACTACAACAAAAAACCAAGACAAACCATTGAAACGCAGGGCGGTTTTGACAATTGCGTGAGAATATTGGCAAAGCGAGACGAACAGCATTATATATAAAAAAGGCAAAAGAGCAGCAAACTATTATACCATTATTTATTGAACATAAAAAAGGTACACTAAAATTAAACAAGAAACAACAAAGAAAGGAATAAAAAACACAAAAGGATAGTATATATACAAGATGGAAAAACAGAAGAAGAAAAAAAAACAACCATGCTATTGAAACTACACATTCTATTATGAAAATGCTTTGGACAAAAGTAAAATAAAAAAAAAGTAATAAAACACAAAACTCAGTTGCCGTTTCTTTTTTTTTCTATAAAATCAAATTTTATTTGTTTTCCTTTTTTCTGATTACAAAAAATAGCTTCGAAAGGTTTCCTTAATACTATAGTAAAAAATTGCTCTAAAAACACTGTTCAACAAAACACTGGCTACTATTGCTGCAAGATCGTGTGGGGGAGATTCTTGCTCGAAGAAGAAGGGGCTGGAGGGAGAAGTCTAAAAACAATCATCATACTGTGTAAAATACTGGCGCTTTTTCCATCTTCTCTTTCGAATCGTTCACTTTACTGGCGTACTCAGGTTCCATTGTACAATCTTGTGTGTTAATTACTTTTCTAACTAACCTTACCGTTTAAACTACCTAAACTAACTTAACACTTAAAACAAAACAATTATCTAGAGGGTTTTACTGGCTCAGTTTTTTTTTTGCTTTTCAAATAACTGGACAACAACGTCTGAAACAATATCAATCGGTAGCAGCTTGTCTTGATTTTCCGTTTGTTTAAAAAAATTATTATCATGAAATGGAATCTCTGCTCTGCAAGATTGGAATGTGATTCCTGTTTCTCCACAACATTGAACAGAAATTAACACTTGCCTATTAACACAAAATTTCTACTATAATCACACATCATAGCACTTATCACTTGTTTGTTGTTCCCAAATTTAATTGGATTGCAGTGTGTTGTAATCTCCGTTGTTTTCATTCTTAACGCCTAGTTTGGGATTTGTTCGATTTGTAATTGCACTTGTTTTGTGAATTTTCGTCCATCCTTTCTGGTGGCTTGGCTTGGCTTCACATTTTGCTTGCTAATAAACTCTTATGTACAATTAACAACGATTTAAATTAACTAACAATTTGTATCAAAAAGTACTGCTGTTTGTAATAAATAACTGGTACTGGGAATGTTCCGACTGGCTCTTTTGTGTATGTGTGTATTTGTGCGCGATGGTTCAGGGATGAAATCGCAAACGATCTATTATGGCTGATTGTTGGAGGAGGAGATGGAGGAAAGAAATCAACGATGAAATCATCAAAGTTCTTTTTTTTGTATCTACAAAGAATGGTACGGAGATCTTTTCATTTACTGAAATGTTTTGAATTTTTGCGCATTTTCCACTGAAACAGCACCTTAGAATCTAATCAACAAAAAAAAAACCTACGCTTGGGGGGCAACTTGGACCGGGTTTCAATAACTTAAACACGGAATTAATGCAATGAGATTCAAAAGTTCTACCTGTCATCAAGTAGATTAAATTGTATAAAATGAAGTTCCATTCAACTTTCAGAGTATTGCTTCGCGTTACATAATAAGTAGGTTTCTTCTATTACATAGTAGATACAGCTCTAATAGTGAAGTGTGTAAGTAATATCGACTCTGTTGCGCGCGCTTCGTGTCTCTCAGTGCCGCTTCATGTGGAGCGACAGGTGATCCGAACGGCTAAAGGAACGTGTGCACAGCTTGCAGCGGAACGGCTTGAGACCGGTGTGCTTCCGGTAGTGCCGCGTCAGCTCGTCGGACCGAGCGAACCGCCACACGCAGCCCTCCCAGGTGCAGATGTATGGCTTTTCACCTGTGGGGGGAAAGAAGAAGAGATGTTAATAGATTAACCTTGAATTTGAAGATGTTTGGGAGTTATTTGATAGCGCTGTCTCTGGTAGCTTGTACATGCTTGTTGTTTTTCAGGAATTATACCACAGACTTTAAATTGATCAAATACCTGCATAACTCTCTCATAATATTTCGGCCATTCTTCTGGAGATCTTTTATTGTTCTGTAGTTCAAATTATGCTTCTATGAGTCGGTTGATCAGGAATTAATCCAAGGACCTTCAATTGATCAAATATCTGCATATTTATATTTTGGCAATTCTTCTGATTGGTTAGCAATTATTAAATCAAATAAATTCTCTAAGATATTCTTGCAAGAAAATCGGTTCATCAGGAATTATTCTAAAGACCATCAATTGATTAAATACCTGCATAATGTTCTCTTAAAAATTTGGCTATTCTACTGGTTGATTAGTTATTTTTCTGAAGGTTTTTAATTGTTCAATTGATCAAATCATGCCTCTAAGACAAGCTTGCAATCTATTTTATAGCAAAACACTCATCTTAGGATATCATTGCAAAAAAACTCATTTGTCATTCTCTTATTAGACTAGTTTGCAAATAAAAGTATAAAAAAATGAACTTGAATCTTTTACCAATTATTCTTATTTAAAAATGTAGTCAAACAAAATCTCAGTAGGGTAGTTTTCGCGATACAGGTAAAGCATGAAAATTTACTTTAAAAAAGTTTGTTAACTAAAATACAAATATCTCCGGTTGTAATGAGACCGGCCAAATTAAAGGTAAGAAATTTTTCGATTTTCGATCAACTGGACATCAATTTTCTGTGAGATTAGTGGTATTGTTGTTAATTAATATATTGTTTATTTTTTTATATTTTGCATTTTTCTAAGAATTTGAATTGAGTTTTTGCTTTTAAGCAGTGTAAATAAAAATGTATGTAGTGGTTGTACTACTAATCTCACTGAAAAATAGTTTTCAAACGATTGAAAGACAATTTTATCATCTTTAATTTGGCGTTAAAATATTTAATATAACTTCATTATATCGACCGGAGATGTTCGTATTTTAGTAAACACATTTTTTTAGAGTGAAATTTCATTTTTAGCTAGGGGAAATGGATGTAATGTCGGCCTAAATGCCCCTAATTTGGGCCCATACATAAATTCAGCAATCGAATCAATTTTCAATAGCGACCAAAAATATCCATAAGTACCGTCCCAATGACGCGTTCATCTAGATAAAATTGATAAATAGCAGATTTTGAGCGATGGGCCCAATCTTCAATCCATAGGCCAACATTAGAGCCATTTCCCCTATTATTGAATTATATGAGGTGGTGGCTGGAAATCACTAGCCCGTGCCCTCCCTTGCCCATTCGGTCCTTACGACATAAGATGCGCGGATACTAGCCTCTTCACAGCAGCATGCAGAAGTAGCTGAGCTGCGCACTCCCCCATTTAAATAGCACCGTAGCTTACCTACGAGTGCAATGAAATACACTCAAGTCTTTTTTTACACGGGGGATACGTACCGTGTAAAAAAACCGTGTTGTTTCAAACAACCGTGTAAAAAAAACCACGATTTAAAAAAAAAACCGTTTAAAAAAAATTATGTGTTTCACAAAACCGTATGATAAACCCGTGTTATTTCAAAATTCATCATAACAAAAAACTGAGCAGTGTTCATGGAATTTTATTCGGTACTTGTAAGTCATGATCACCTAGAACATATTCGTTCATGATAAAGTTCTTCTGGTGGTAAAGACCTTCCGAATGCTCAGTTCACACCATTTCGGAATTTTCTCTCATTTGTAAATCCTAACCATCTTTTAAATTCTAACCATCTTGTAAATCCTAACCAGCTGGCTTCCAAAAAGCTGCTCCTGTAGCTGAGTAATGAACAGTACAACGTTGTAGGTACATACATATGTGTATGAATTCCATATCTACGTGGGGCAAATGTGCATACCGTGGTGCATCCTAATTTCAATTCATAGTGATAGCAATGTTTAACATATTAAGCAGGGTTTTAATCATACAAAGCAAATCACTAGCTTTCATGCTAAAAAGTACTGGTTTTCGAGTCAAAAGTTATTATACGTCGTTTGGTGGCCCCCTAAGGTTACTTAAGTCAAAGTCTTTTTACCAGGATATTCGAGAGAATTATCAATCACGTCTCTTTACGTGCAGCCCATTCATCATTTTAGGACCACCGAAATCATCTTAGCAACAAACAGTTCGATTTATTCACTTTAATAATGAGAAAGCAAAACGACGAGGGCAAACATACTTTTGAATATAAAAACTAATTGCTTTGTAATGGAAGTTTGCCGTTGAATTAGGGTACATTACGGTACATATAAACTTGCTGATTATGGTGATCCTCAAAATTCCGCCAAATAGCGAAAAATTGAACGATTTTCAGATTTTACCTCTCAGAATTACATTAAGCTGAGGGGTCAGAAGGAAAGGGTGTAAGTGACTTTGATCGATTCTCTTCATCGACTTTCTCTTTTGATAGCAGCTTTATAAGCAGATTTCGCGCTATTTCTGCCACATAGTTTGATAAAGAAGCTTCTAATCTAGTATCAAGAATGACACACGCATCAAGGAATGTGTTTGCAGCTGAATTATTAACGAAAGAGATGAAGAGAATCGATCAAAGTCACTTACACCCCTTTCCTTCTAACTCCCTCAATTGTAATTGTTCGCTAGAGACAATGAACCAGGTTTGTGTTGGAATTCAGCCATTTCCACTCTTGCATGGTATAATCTAGACGTGTAGAGGCCGGAAATCGATGCTTCATGCCATTTTGGAATCCAAGATGGCGGCTTCCGGTTTTGTGAAAAACTGTCAAATAGCCAACGATATAGATATTTTCGGAACGGGAACGACGTGTAGAGAACGGAAATTGATGATTCACGCAATTTTGGAATCCAAAATAATGGCTTCCGGTTTGTGAATGTTTCAAAAAAATGTTATGCAACAAATTTTAATTAATTTTTTTTTCGATTATCTGTAATTAATCTTCTTACATTTACAAGAACTTCATAAATTCAATGTTGAACAACATGTGATAACAGTGACTTGGTTGTGGAATGCATGTAGCACTAGAGGTTTTTTTGTTTTTTTTTGTTTTTTTTTTTTTTTTTTTTTTTTTTTTTTTTTTTTTTTTTTTTTTTTTTTTTTACAGGGGGAATCTGCTCACAGACACCTGAGAAGGAACTCAGGGTGTGGGGATGGGAGAATTTCACATAGTTTGCATTAGAGGTTATACAGGTACAAGTGGTAATGGCCTGCCGAGATTTGCTCAGCCGAGCTCGGTAGAAAAAGCTAAGTGTGTGGATACCAAAATTGCGTGAATCATCGATTTCTGGCCTCTACACGTCTTTCCCTTTCCGAAAATATCCATATCGTTGGCTATTTGACAGTTATTCACAAAACCGGAAGCCGCCATCTTGGATTCCAAAATGGCATGAATCATCGATTTCCGGCCTCTGCAATGTCGTCTCGGTTCCGAAAATATCCATATTGTTGGCTATTTGACAGTTTTTCACAAAACCGGAAGCCGCCATCTTGAATTCCAAAATGGCATGAATCATCGATTTCCGGCCTCTACACGTCGTTCCCGTTCCGAAAATATGTATGTACCCATGTTGTCCGGTGAATCCACTCGAAGTACACTTTCAAGTTTGTTTTTTGGATAAGTCCAGTCCTCAGAAAACACTTAGAATGTTTTGGTTCTTTAACCGCGTTATTTAAAAAAAGCGTGTAAAAAACCGCGTTATTTAAAAAAAACCGTGTAAAAAAAACCGCGTTATTTCGAAAATCGTCGTAAAAAAACCGTGTAAAAAAAAACCGTGTAAAAAAAGGCTTCAGTATATAAGGGATATCGATTTATAACCACTACCTACTTCTCTCCCTTCCGCTCTCAGGATTAACTGATTCGGTATCTCTCATTGTGTGTTCTACTGAAATTGATAAATATTCAATACCGCAAAATATCTCCGTAGTAACATTTTCTTTCGGCGCAGATTATGTGCCGGAAAGGAAAATTAAGAATGTAGGGGAAATGGATGTAATGTCGGCCTAAATGCCCCTAATTTGGGCCCATACATAAATTTAACAATCGACTAAATTTTCAATAGCGACCAAAATATCCATTAGTACCGTCCCAATGACGCGTTCATCTAGGTAAAATTGATAAATAGCAGATTTTTTGCGATGGACCCAATCTTAGATCAATAGGCCAACATTGGAGCCATTTCCTCTATCTCAGCATTTACAATAATAATCTAGCACATTTTCATTCACGTATTGAACTGCAACAGCCGAACGTACGAAGGAGTAGGGTGCCCATAGGGTGTTTTAAGAAAACGTCGCAACTTTTCATAGGTGTTTCAAATCAATAATTTCGAAGAAACCATAAGACCTACAAGGTTACTGCCAACTTTCATTGTAACTTCCCTGAAGATTCCGCGATGTCCCTGAAGTTTTCGGACCAAAAATTGAAATTCACGGAATATTCCATAATTCGTCGGAACTCATTGAAAGTTTCTGCAATTTACCTGAACTTCATGGGACTGCTCTGAAGTTCTCTGATCATCTTCAAAGTATTATAATGAAACTAGCAAAATAGCTATGATCTTCTTTGAAATTCTTTAGACTTTCGTAAAACTTCTTAGCAACACTCACAACTTTCTTAACATTAATGGAACTGACTCTGATGTTCTTCGATCTTCATTGAAGTCCGAATTCGTTTTAAGCTCTCGAATCTGCCCTTAAAAACACGGAACTTCCTTATTCTATTTACGTTAGTGTACCTTCCCTAACGTTACCAATATGTTCATAAGCTTCTCGGAGATACTCTCATAATCTCCTGAAGTTATTGGTTCTTCTTCTTATAAGCTTTTTACGCTTCTGTAGCTGGAGTTTTGCCGGCTCTCACTTCTTCCACAGTTATTAATTGAGAGCTTTCTATGCCAGGCAATGCATGAAT